GTCACCCTATCAATCTTACCGGCAATTTTATAAAAGCGTATGGAGGTCAGCTTTGCGCATGCGCCGCTCAGAAGTGATGCACGCGGAAGCGCAGCGGAGAGATCAAAACAAAAAACGGTCACTAATTAGAAATACAAAACGAGGATTTGTAAAGAAGAATGTCGGAGGATTTCGATACAAGCCAAGAGGAGACTGGTTTTCCTTTGCTAAAGTAAGGAAGCTTTGCTTCCTTTGCTCCTGTTAACAAACGTTGGTTTTCACGAGACTCACCGGCGCATGCGCAGCGCTGACCTCCATACGTCATCCTCCCGGAACTGCTTCCATGTACAACAGTGAGTGCAAACTACATTATTAAAGTGATTATTACGTTTTGAATATGGATATTTTTCTTACATGCAGACCAGACAGAGCTGTCGGCGATTCTTCCTATTGTGAAGTCATGCAGTGTGTAACCTCCTGTCGCCGATCCATCGTGCAATGTGAACACAGCAGTGACTGACTGCTACCTCAGATAGTCACGCAGTGTGAAAACCACAGTGACCCGACGACTTTGAAAATCGTGCAGTGTGAACTCGGCATAAAGCAGCACATCACGGCCTCGCCCCCTTTGCTGCCTTTTCCCGAGGGCGGGGTTTATCTGGGTTTGTTACGTCACGAACCCAGGAAGTAACTCGTTGTAGTCCCTACCAGCCGTTTTTGTAGGCATTAAACTGCCAGAATTTTAAAAGTCGATATCTCCGTTTGCATTGAACTTTCAGCTTCGTAACTTTGCAGATATTGTTTATGCTCAAACAGCAACATTACACACTAACTAACGTTAAAAAAGTGAAATCGCAATGAACCACCCCTTTAAGATGACACATCCAGTGTGGGATAATTGCAGCTGATCACTTTATTAACTGACAGACTCATAGCTTTTTTTAATAATTTATTTATTTGTTTTATTTTTTGCAAGCAATCCGATTTAATAATAAATAGGCAAATCTAAGCAGTGATTTTTTCTAAAACTAAAGCTATAAAGCTTTTCACCGGTTAAACTATTTTATTGATTAGCGGGACAGTGCTGACAAGTTTCTGTGCACGTAAATGTCTTTCTCTTTATGTGCGCAAGTGTCTGTGCCTGTGTGCGGACAGAATAAAGATAAAGCGTGTTTTAATAAAAAGCAATTTATAGGGGGAGATAGAGCGAGAGCGCGCGACCCCTAACCTCAAACCTAACCCTCACAGAAACCTATAAAAAATCACTAGATTTAAATAGAAACATAATTTGGACGGTTTATGAGTGCTAAAATGTCCATGTAAAATGTCCTCACTTGTCGGTTGTCGTGATATTTCGCTAGGCCTATGAAGACATTCGGCCCACCTACAAGCTTATAGCTAAAACAAGTACACTTACACAATTTAAAGCAGATCTAATAAAAACCATCATAACTTAAACACCAAGTTATCAACACATATTGGTGACCAGGGCTGGACTGGGGTTAAAATTCAGCCCTGGACAAATCCCATCCGGCCCACGAGTTCCCCCATGAATGTTTTGCTGGGTAACAGGCCCTTAAATTGGAGTAGGCTAAATAAATGAATAAATAAAACAGGACAGAAACAAATAATTATATATATTACTGAATTCACAACAAATGCTACAAACTTAATGCATTTTTGTCACAAATGTAGCACTGATTTTGAGCTAGAATGCAGAAAATGTACTAATTCTGTCATTTCCTCACCCTCATGTCGTTCCAAAACTGTATGACTTGTACTTTCTTCTGTGGAACACAAGAGAAGATATTTTGTAAAATATTACCATATAGGTTTAAACTGACATGATGGTGAGTAAATGATCATTTTCTATGGGGTGAACTATCCCTTTAAGAACTTTAACATTTGTAAATAGTTAACACCTAATTTATCTAAGACACCGATATTTATCTTTAATCAGGCTCTTATTGAATTAACATTTTACTTAATTTAAAATTAATTAGAACTAAGCATTTAAAGAGAAAGAAGATATTAAAGCTATTCTGTTAAATTATCCTTTGCCCTAATGAAACCTAGTATATTTCTTGCATAGAATCCAGAGTTTAACTGACTAGTATCAGTAAGATGGTGGTCACAACAAGTAAAACCGTAGTCCTCATTACCATAGTTTTTAACATAAATAATAAGTAATAATAAACTATGGAATTTGTAATAATAAAAAAAAACTAAATATGTAGAAACTACAAAAACAACTTCTATAAAAGTAAAATATTCCCCAATATTTAATAGAAGTAATAACCATAACACTTATAGCTAATAAAAACATTTCTGCCAAAACACCATAGGCTATTTAGTGTTAATAACACTCCGGTTACTAACGTAACCTCTAACTAACATAATCCCTGAGATAAGAGAACGAGTTCCTGTTCGTTAAGGAACTGCAAGTTAAATTACTATGGTGCTGAATTGACTTATAATTGTATTGACGTTTTCCAGTTTACCTCGTCATGCAGTTTACATAAACGGCCATGACACGAGAGCCCTGACGCTAAGCCTGCTATTTATTTCAGTTGCAATATTGGGATAAGAGATAAGTGCATGAGCTAAGAGCCCGATCTTAAATTTTTTAAAGGATCGAAAGTCATTCAGAGTTCTGCGGTAAGGAAGTTGGGGTGTGAAAAGCTCAGCTATTGGTGGAATGAAATGTTGTGCCGGTGTGAACCAATGATTGGAAAGTTGTCTGTTTTGACGGGGGGAGTTTGGGTCAAGAGGCTGTTGCCTACAATTTCCTTTTCACTCTGCGCTCTGTTGCGAAATATTGACAGAGAATCAGATCTCAGTCTGACATCCTGAATTGAGAAGAAGATTAGGAAAAGATTAGTTTATTAAGTTTATTAGTTTACTAATTAAGAAAGATTAGTTTGTGCATATAACATGTCTACACATAAGCAAACATTTTTATTAAAAATAATGATCATGCACTATCAAATGTTTAAACTTTTAATATCAAGTTAATTCAAATGTGTGCATAAACCAAAATATGTAAAACAGTATTAATAATGTATGGTGACAAAATTGGCAACATAAAAATACAACATAACAAACGTGCAATACAAAAACTAAGGTCTTGTCCTAGCCTGTTTGGGTTGGTCTGTTTTAGAGGGGGTTTTGAGCACTCTTCAACTGAGAGATCAACTGGACATCTTAAACCAGCTAAGACCAGCAAATCATTTTAGGTTGATTTAACACAGGGGTGTCCAAACTCGGTCCTGGAGGGCCAGTGTCCAGAAGAGTTTAGCTCCAACCCCAATTAAACACACCTGAACCAGATAATCAAGCTCTTACTAGGCATACTAGAAACTTAAAGGCAGGTGTGTTGAGGCAAGTTGGAGCTAAACTCTGCAGGACACCGGCCCTCCAGGACCGAGTTTGGGCACCCCTGATTTAACAGGTTTTTTAGCAGAGTGATCTCACATAGGGCAAATCATGAATGATTTAACAACTCGAAGCAGACATAGTATTTTTTTAATTACAGGGTTCCTACAGAAACTGCTAAATGAAATTCCAGGACTTTCAAGCACTACTTTTTTGGTTTTCAAGGACTAAAAATCAGAGCTCACAATATCATTGTTATCTTTCAAATTCTAATAAATTGCAAAGCATGCAATGGCAACTTTAACATTTGAAAGGACGCTTGTAAATGATGCAACACAAAGCGTGTCAGACTTTACATGCTTTCCCAAATGCACGTGATTGAAAACCCAAACAAACAGCACATGCAATAAAAGACCGAGCAATATAATGCAAGCACTATCAAAGGTTTTACCACAAAGTCAACTTTATACTGATATCGCGAGACCGCTTTTCACCTCAATGAGTAATATCGCGAGATCTCGTGCGCTGCTAAAAGCCAGACGAAACGGCTCTGTATTTATATCAGACGCGCTGCATTGTTAATTTTGCGAGACAAATTTAAAAAATAACACTAATTTCACATATACTGCCTTTTAAATATTCAAGTACTTTTCAAGTACCTTTTCAAAAATATTGCCGTTTTCAATTTCAAAAAGTCCAATTCAAGTACTTCAAGCACCTTGTACGAACCCTGTAATTATATATTTATTATATCATTTCAAACTGCTAGGGTAACGGGGAAGACGCATTAATCTTCGATGTACATTATTTTAACATTGCTTTTAATTATTTGTTACATATGAGCTGAACAAAGGTGCAACACTCACTCTTCAAAGTTCAAGCTTTATTAATAAACCAACATGACCTTTCGGCCGTCCAAAGCCTTCATCAGATATCAAGAGTAACAATCTCACACAGTTATGTGCAGTCTGATAATCACCAACAGGTGTGCAACTCCACTAATTGTACTGATTGAGAAGTAGTTTCCTAATAGGATTGGGGAGATTGGGGTTTACCTTTCAACATGACAAAGACCCAAAGCACACAGCAGAACTGAGCACACAGTGGTTGAAGGAGAAAAAGGTGAATGTCCTTGCATGCCCTAGTCAGAGCCCAGACTTAAACTCCACTGAAAATCTGTGGAATTACCTGAAGACTGCAGTCTACAAACACTCACCATCAAATTGAACTGAAATTGAGCAGTTCTGCAAAGAAGAGTGGGCAAATATTGCAAAGTCTAGATGTGCAAAGTTAGTAGAGACAGAGTCATATCCCAACAGATTAAAGCAGGGGTCTCCAAATGTCCTGCAGGGTTTAGCACCAACTTGCCTCAACACACCTGCCTTGAAGTCTCTAGTATGCCTAGTAAGACCTTGATTAGCCGTCCAGGACCGGGTTTGGAGACCCCTGGACTAAAGGCTGTAATTAAAGCAAAAGGTGGTTCAACAAAATACTGACACAAGGGACTGATCCTTTTGCCAACTCAGTGATTCTGTTTTTGTATTTTTATTTTCTGGCATGTTGGTGTTATATCTTTCACTTGGATATTATAAAGTTGCACTGAGCAAATACAGCTGGATAAAACAAACTGTCCGTCTTCATTTCAGGCTGCAAAGCAACAAAATGTAATTATTTTAAAGGGGGGTGATTCTTTTCTATACCCACTCTATGGTAAAGAATGATTCTATCAGACACCACTATCATGTTTTCAAATGAATGATCAGTGAGGAACGATATTTATTAAATGCAGTGGCACAAAAAGTAAGATATTATGCTTTGATGAAGTAAGACAATACTCCAATAATGTATTTATTTACATCCAGTCTGTGCATAATTTGATAGCTTGATGCTTTGGCTTCTTTTGGGACTATTTTCTTTGAAAGAGAAGAAATATACTTACTAACTGGCCTTAAATATTCTCGTTGAACTTTGGTATAAAATTGTGTGCTGAGCTCTGATATTCTTGCTCACGATGAAGCAGGAATTAATGAGAGATTGAATTAATTTGACATCAGAAATCTCAACACTGTTGGTCAAATTAAATCTTAGTGACAACACGTGGCACGGCTCCCTATTACCATCAAATAGACAAGATTATGCTCTAATGCTGCTTTGCATGGACCAAACCAAACCCAACGTAGTTCCAGAGCTCCTTCTTCATACTTCATAATTCTTCGCTTCATGGGGCGAGAGCGCCAGTAACTCTGTCCCACCTCGACATCGGCTCCTCTCAGGAATTTGCAACAGATGTGGCTGGGGCAACAATGATTTCAAGGGGGCCAATCCTCCATCTTATAAGTGCTAAATTTAAAGTTGTTTCTTAATCTTGATTCAAGTGTTCTGTATGGAAAAAGAACGGAAAGGCCATTAGAAATTTACAATTTAACACTTCAACGCGACGTCATCAATCATTTAAATGTAATAAATTCAGATGCAAATCATTTCATTTTGATCAAAGCCTGTCCAGCTAGTGTCACGTGTCTCACCTAAACTGTCCTGATAATACCTCCACCATAATTCCATGGTCGTACAGTGCTGACACCAAGAGATGGCGCTGTTTCTTCAACTGAGAACTGAACGTCTGTTAACGCATTACATAATCACATTACCTTTAGTCAGATTGCTTTCAATTTAATTTTTTTACATTTCTTAAAGAATAATATTGGTACACACCAGAGTTATCATGTCCACAGCAGCACAGGAATCTCCAGACTGTTCTTAGAAGCCGCCATAAAAATCCAATTATTGTATCTGTGGTGAGAAATACTTAAATTAGGATAATTCCTAGAAAGCGAAACATTTGTGTAATCAAATATAAATATGATCTTGGTTTGCCATTTTACATGGCTATACCATAGACTGTATAAAAAGGGCTATACCCGCTTCCAGTCGTCAAATCGTCTTTTATTGTCATATCGAGTGCTGAAAAGTTTCTTTGCCACTGTCTAATGATGCTTTAATGCCATTGTTTATCCGTTTAAACATTTTGTATTGCAAAAAATTCGCTTGAAATGGCGATTATTATAAATTACGATTAATAATGTCGCCCACCGGGTTATAAACACAGGAAGAAGTACAGGAAGAAGAAAACATACAGTCCGTGTGAGCAAGACATAGTTTGACAATACATATATGGCTAAAACAGAACAATTCTGACCTGTATTGCTGAATTCCATTTTGACTTCAATTCGTATTTGTTGTTTAAAATTCGGTGTTTAGTTTTCGTCTAAGAACGTAACACGAAGTGATTCGGATTTCCCGCGGTTAGGGAACGCCCCCTCTGACGTTTCTGTGACGACACGAGGAGTCTGTACTAGATCGATACTTGACTAGATCGCTTTTTTTTTTCTTTTTCTTTTTTTTTTAACCTGTATTATTATTTATATAATACTGTATATTTTCTATATCTTTTTTGTAGTTTATATTTGTTCAGTACCTTTATATTATATGTTGGAAATCAATAAAAATAAATAAATAAATAAATAAAACTTGACTAGATCGCTCTCTACTGTTGTGAAGAGCGCCTCATATAATGAAATCGTGAAACAAAATTAATTCTCGAGTAGCTTGAGCGGATGTACACTGCAAAACGAACAGTTGCGCTGGCTGAATTTCCGAGATATTAACAATATACCATTGTACTTTATAGGCTATCATTATTTACCAACGTAAATTTTTCAAATGTGACGGATTTAGAGATATTATACGTGATGCACATAACAAATTGAATATTTGTATTCAGTTTTATATTCTAAACTTGGATCATAACCAATAAAATACTATAAATAACCCGAACAGCTCAACTGAAATGTGTTCATAAGGACTAAGTACATTCTTTTGGGTTATAAAGATAAGAACAGAGGAAAACGCTATAGTTTCATAAGAGCTACTTACGTTTTAAAGTTTTCCTCTCTTACTCCACTGCAAGCCATCGCCTAACGTAAGGAGGTCCAGTATAGTGCTAAAAAAAGTTACGTTGCCATGTTTTTACCAACATTTTCATAATACGACTTAAAAAAGATTTTCCTCTGCAGAAAGCTGTTGTTACATTGCCAGTTGCCGGGAGATGTTCCCGCGAAAATGACGTGCTCTTGCACTTTCTCTTTGAATCGTGGACCCACCAGCTCTAGTTGCACATGTTGCACTTACTGGTCAAACGGGAAGTCCGCCTGTTTCCCGCGAACGGGTTCTGTCTTACAGTGCGGTCATTTTATCTGGTTCTACATTTTGCCAATAACTTTTTCAACCATCAGATGCACAACAGAGCTTGCAGTATTAGTTGCTGACAATAACATTTTATTTTTGCAAGCTGAGAATATCTATGACTGTATGTGTGTTTTATATATATATATATATAAAGCGAGTTACACGAGCTATCAGTCTTACATATTTAGCATCCTGTTTCTTTAAAACGCCGACACCTCAGCTGCGCTACCATTGGACAAAGAGTGAACCGCCTGCTTAGGTAAACACGTTTGATTGGCTGATTTGTCGACGCCCATGTAAATGACATATATCCGCCGTCGAAGTCGCTCTCGCTCTTCTAGTGCACAAACTTATACTGTACTGCTAACTGTGACAGTGCTGGAGAAATGTCACTTCGCACAGCTGTTCGTCTTTTCGGTGCGCCCTTCCGGAGTGTTTTACAGCCCTGCGCTGCTAATGCTAGAAGACCGTACGCGGCTGTTGCTCAAGCGCTGTCGGTGCTGGAAAACGAGCTGGACACTATCCGGGCAGCGGGCACATGGAAGGGGGAGCGAGTCATCACGTCCAAGCAGGGACCTCATATCAATGTGGACGGCAGCAGAGGCGGTGAGCTGCACAGTGTGTGGAGGTCTAGCCAGAGTCAGTTAAAACACTATATACAACAAAATGGTATGATTAGGTTGTACAGTTCCTGGAAGCACCTAGCCTAGGGAAATAAAGTCAATAGCATGCTGCAATTTCAGTTTCAACTTTGCTGCATAAGAAACTAATTATGACAACACCTGTGCTGCGTTCAGCCCCGACAAAAACGGTGCAAAACGTTTTTTAAACGGAAACGGTGGTGCGTTGAACACACTGTTCTGATGACACAAGAGTTGCAACTATGGCAGCTGAGAAGGCCATTCTTTGTGTTCTTTTTGAAGAATATGTATAGTATTTTTATGTTACATTAATCAGTATTTAGCACACAATAGAAGACATTGCAATTACTAAATGATATTTAGACCGACTTAAAAAGTTCCAGATCTATACTTGTGCTCTTATTATTTCAGTTATTTTGCCTTTAATGTAAATAAATGTGCAAACAATATACTTGCTCTTGTGAATTTATTTTGATGTTAATTGCATTGTGCGAGCTGTCTCTTTAAAGGGGTCATATGATGCGATTTCAATTTTTCCTTTCTCTTTGGAGTGTTACAAGCTCTTGGTGCATAAAGAAGATCTGTAAAGTTACAAAGACTAAAGTCTCAAATCCAAAGAGATATTCTTTATAAAAGTTCAGAGTCAGCAATGTTCACGCAAAGAAAGAAGGCGTAATTTTTATTCTCGCTGTAGTATTGTTGTTTCCGCCGCAATGTCGTGAAGATACTGTGTGCTTCGTTGTAAAAGTTAAACTACTTTGTTTGGTCTTCCAAAAGAGGACGATATCTGCTTCGTCATGCCTGGAGCTGATCCGTGCTGGTTGCTGAAGAAATACTACAACTTCGCGCTGTGGATCGCCGGATCGGCTTTCACCGTGGACGAAGCGTGATGCAATTTCAATTTTTCCTTTCTCTTTGGAGTGTTACAAGCTCTTGGTTCATAAAGAAGATCTGTAAAGTTACAAAGACTAAAGTCTCAAATCCAAAGAGATATTCTTTATAAAAGTTCAGAGTCAGCAATGTTCACGCAAAGAAAGAAGGCGTAATTTTTATTCTCGCTGTAGTATTGTTGTTTCCGCCGCAATGTCGTGAAGATACTGTGTGCTTCGTTGTAAAAGTTAAACTACTTTGTTTGGTCTTCCAAAAGAGGACGATATCGAAACAATAATGTACAGTATGTGGAAAATAATGTGTTTTTTTAACTTTAAACCGCATAAACGCATTTCATTACACCAAATACACAAAATAATGTTCTTTTTAGCAACATCATATGACCCCTTTAATACCTCGTGGTTTATATACATGTTGCTGCTTGTTGGGCTGACATGTTTGGCACACCCACCAAACAAGAGAAAACGTATCTCAACGTAACCAATCGTTATGATATACTGAAGCACCACTGCCAATACACTGTAACAATACATTGGCGCTCTTTATGCGTAGATGCTTGAAATGAGTTGTGCAGTAATTCTATATTTACTAAGTTCTATATTTACTATGAGTAGTTCTGTATTTACTAATATTTTATATTATTTATTAAATTCTTTTTTGTAAATGTGTAATTCACAGTGGGCAGAGCTCAATAGCTCAAATAAAAGATTTTATTTTTTGTTTCTCTTTATCTTCTGATCCCATATTTCTCTCTGTTTCAGACATATTGAATTTCTGTGCAAATAACTACCTGGGTTTATCCAGTCATCCGGAGGTGGTGAAGGCAGGAATAGATGCTCTGCAGAAGTATGGCGCTGGCCTTAGTTCAGTTCGCTTCATCTGTGGCACACAGGTGAGGAAAAATACTGTATTTGAACACACTGATAGCAATGCTTATTGATGCCTTAAGATATATCTGACTGTTAATCTGTCTGTTCTCTAGAACATCCACAAGAACCTGGAAGAGAAACTAGCCCAGTTTCATGAAAGAGAAGACTGTATTCTATATGCGAGCTGCTTTGATGCCAATGCTGGTCTGTTTGAGGTCTGTTTTAACCAATCGTTATGATATACTGAAGCACCACTGCCAATACACTGTAACAACACATTGGCGCTCTTTGCTTTAGGTCCTGTTGGGTCCCGATGATGCAGTGGTGTCTGATGAACTAAACCACGCCTCTATTATCGATGGCATTCGATTGTGCCGTGCCAAGAGGTTCCGCTACAAACACATGGACCTGAATGACCTGGAAGAAAAGCTGAAAGAATCACAGGTAGATTCTATGGAGCCAGATCGGCCTCAAAAATAATACATTTATAAAACAAAATTCTTAAATTCACAGCACAATTTACATTTACAAAATCCGATAAATTCATAAATACAGAAGTGAAAGCATAAATATTTCCTCAAATGCTCACACAAAAGCATCTTACCTAAATAAATTTAAAATGTTTTATCATTTTATCAATAAGCGATTTAGATTTTTAGACCCCTTAACCTGCCCCCAAACCTAAACCTACCCATTTTATAGCTAATATGCATTTTTATCATTTTATTAATACGTAATTTAGATTTTTAGATCCCTTAACCTACCCATTTTATAGCGATATAGGATATAAAACGCAAATGACCGAAATACGCAGGAAAATAAAAATTTTAGTAACAATATAGCATTAAAATATATTTATAGTCGCTAATTCCACTCCTACCTATAAACCTAAACATTTCTGTACAGTATAAGAAAAACATGACAGACAGAT